TATTTATCAAATACTATCAACATCAAACGAGAGTTTTTTTTTTTTTTTTTTTTTTTTTTTTGGGCTTGAAATTAGAGAGTGTTGCTTAATTAGATAGAACTAACACAAACTTATATTTTATGGAGTTGACGAGATGTTGACAATTCTCTCTTCTTTGGAATGCGTACGCGTATATAAATTTATACAAATTGAGACAGTATGGATTTCATCCAATTTTAATGTTCTAAATAGTATCTAAATCAAAATCATATTATATTGTGTCATTTTAAAAATTTTAAAATGTTTCTTTTTTAATTTCATACTTTAATGTTTAAGTTCTTTAAATGATATCTACTAATAACATCTACTATAAAATAATTAATTAAATAACATGATATAATATAATTAGTTAAACACCGCTTAAAATAAATTTGCCGCATTAAATTTATCCAAAATAAAAAGTTATACAAAAAAGAGAAAAAAAACGTTAATGACAGTTAGTCGTCAGTTACTTGGCTAACAGAGGCCAAAAACAAAAGTATGTCCACATGTTTGACATTACTAGAAGGTTGTTAGCAATTTTTAAAATATCGAATTATTTCTATTTCGTTTCGTATAACATTACAAAGTAGTGTATTTCTATTCATTTTTTTTACAGGTCGAATATGAAATTCAGCGAAACATATAGCTTTGGTGTTGGACCCAAAATTTGACCAGCTGGGTTTATTTCCCACCCAACGCGGTATGACTTAGCCAGCCAATTATGGTCAATTCGTACACCTTGCAAATTCGTGGTCTTTATTTTATGCTCTTTTTCCGTGGGGTCTTTAATTTTCTAATTTATATACTTGTAGGCTGTAGCCTCAAGAGAGACAAAACATAAAATAAATAAAAGATTAATGAGTTGTTTGTTTTAAGAGTTTATCTCTGATTATGAATCATAATTTTTAATTTTCTGCATTATTTTTTTCTCATAAAAAATTTAAATTTTAAAAATTAAAATCATAAATCATGATTTTGAATTTATAAACTAAAAGTCTCATAAATCACTAAGAATCTCAGAAGTTCGCAACTTGTATTTTTTTTTTGGACGGGCAATTTGTATTAGAGTAACCTCTCAACTTAAACAAATAATTAAAAAAAATATTTAGGAGTTGTTTGGTTGGGGGATTCGTACCTCGATTCGAATTATGATTCGTGATTCGCTACAGTGTTTTCTCTCATAAAAAATACACATAAATTAAAAATGGTTATAATCTCATAATTTTAATCCATAAACCAAACATATCCTTAAAAAACTATCAGGACAACGCCTGAATTTTATTTCACGCGCAGTAAATCCAATCATTATTTGATCGTCTTCGGAAAAGAAAAAAAAAGAAAAGAAAATTTGTTATTAAATAATTTAGATTTGTTGAAACTTGAAAATGACTATAAAAATGATGCGGTGGCATGATTAATTAACGAAAAAATATACACAGTGTTGATCTTCCCATCGATCAATCATATTTGATCCCAACTACCTAAGTTCCCTCTGTCATCATTAAATGCAATTACATTAACAAAATAAAATATAAGAAAAAACTATAAGATTGAATAAAAAAGGTCTATGATTGTTTAGAAACAAAAAAATTGTTTATAATTAAGATTACGTTTCCACGCTTATCATACTTATAAATTGTGAATATGTCTTTCATTAAACAAAGAAAAATGTGTTTTTAGGAGATTATATAGTACGCCTGACGTACCGGTAGGTCATATTTTTCTATTTACTCATTTTTTAACTTTTACGTGATTTTATGCAAATCTAATGAACATAAAACTTGACCTATCAGTATGTTAACGTACCAAAAAGAATCTTTTTTTTATTCCGATAGGGACAAATTCTCATAAACACAAGAGGTGGGTCTCACATGGTGGGACTCACACAGACTTACTAGTGGAGTCTACTTTTCGTGTTTAATGGGGACTTAACTCCATCAGGTGACACATGAAAGCTCTTAACAAAAGGAAAAACGAACTCCAAATCAGGGTGACTACTCCAAAACATCTAAGATCCTGTTTATTTCATCGATTTGTGTTTTGTTACAGTAAAAATCTTTCAGAAATAGTCACATCTAACTTTTTTGCTATAATAAAAAGTTTTCATATAAAATCACATCTAAACTTAAATTAAAAACTCAAATCAGTGAACTAAACGAATCCTGAGAGTATAATCGAGGGGATCAAGTCAAGAGACACGTCCCCAATGAACATTACAAGCAAGGCGCCATTTAGCCAAGTTATGTGCCGTAAAATTACGAAGACGATAAACTTTAGTAAAAACAACATACTCTAAGGAAGGTTTTAGAGAGTTGGCAAAACCAAAAGCATTTGAGATCTCCCATGGTCGCTGGATAATTCCTCTGAGGCAGTCAATAACCGTCTGATTGTCACCTGTGAAGATGCAATAAGGCATTTTCCTAGATAGCCAGTACAGCTGCAGAAGCTTCAGCCAATAACGTCTGATTATTATTGATATTTTGCAAATTTTCCTAGATAAAGTTAAATTAAAAGATTATAATTGATACTTTGCAAATTTCATGTGATGGGGGATTTTTTGTTTTTTGTTTTTGTGCTATGTAATCATCTAATTCCTACAAGTATAAGTGGCCTTCAATACTAATTGAAGAAAAATTTCTAGATAATCGATGCTAAATGTGACATTTTGACTTGAAGATAATGTCAAAATATGTGTTTATTTAACTAATCGCGCTAAATCATTCATTTCTAACTATGTATTAATGGAAAAAGTTGCACTAACATGCACTGGTACTCTCTTATGTATGCACTATTATGGTGTGGTTTTGCTGACATGGTGTAGTGTCTAGTTCTTTCCGGAATTGTCTAATTAGCACAAGAATGTTTCTTTTGATTTCTTTCTTCTTTCCACGTTTAGAGCTTTGAAGCGGGATGGGTTTGAAATTGTTTGCCTCGATGGACGAATCAAGTTCAAAATCAAGCCACGCTCGGGTTTAGACCATCTCTAATACAAATATTTATGCTATATCTGATATAAAAGTGCGAAAATAACATAATATATGTTATTTTTCATTTATTAATTTGCAGTACATAATGTAATTTTAAATGTTATATCTCATTTTTGATCACAATCATTAAACTTTAAAATTGTAAAAATAAACTTTTGATTTTAAAATAATTAAAAAAATAATAATGCAATGATTAAATGAAAAGTTCTATACATCAACTAATAGCAATCGCATGCTAAAATTTAGCATGCGTTATGTTTGGTGTTAAATTTATCATTGAGAATAACATAAACATCAAAAGTAATATAAAAAAAAATTGTATTGGAGAGTGGTTTTCTAACTCAAATGTAAAAATTTAACATTGGAATAGTAAATTGACATTGCAATGGAGATGCCCCCCACCATCTCTAATGTAAAAGTGACCCCTAGTCACAATGGGTCTGTTTAGTTCGCTGATTCGAGTTGAAATGTAACTTTATATGAGAGTTTTTTTACTGTAGTAAAAAAATTAAATGTGATTGTTTACGAGAGCTTTTTACTGTAACAAAACTTAAATTCTAAACTCAAATCGGTGAAATGAACGGGGCTAATATAACTCCCTTGTGCATGAAAATTGCATGTTATAGAGGCATGAACCGATTAGGATCCCGGTCATTGTTGAAGCCTAGATCCTTGCATGGGATTCCAACGCATGGTTCACATCGCATGGACTCCTAGAGCTTGATTTTTGCTGACAAGATCTCATGGCGCCACTAGTATCTTGGACAACAGATCTGAAACACTACAGATCTCTAGTCGCTAGAAGGGGGCAGCTAAAACTTAGGTTGCGGGCAATGAACAAGGGTCCGTCAGGAGAGAGATTGTGGCATGAGTGAGAGAGAAGAAGAAAAAAAGAGAAAGAAAGATAACTAGAAAGACCTAAGTATTTTTTCCAAAAAAAAAAAAAAAAAAAAAAAACACAAGGGCCCGTTTGAATAGCATGCCCGAAATGCTGAGGTTTGATTTTTTTTTTTTTTACATAGAAGCGTAAGTTCGTCTTTTTTTTTTTTTTTCCAAAAAAAAAAAAAAAAAAAAAAAAAACACAAGGGCACGTTTGAATAGCATGCTCGAAATGCTGAGGTTTGATTTTTTTTTTCTTTAACTGTAAATTCTTAAATCTATGGTTTGAACTTACATTTTCAAATCGAGTGAAAAAAATGGGGTGGTGGAATAAGTTTTTATATTTCTGTTATGGTTGGTTTTCTAAGAGAAAAGTGATAAACTTACTCTTTTATGTAAAAAAAAAAAAAAAAGATGAACTTACTCTTCTATGTAAAAAAAAAAAAAAATGAACTTACTCTTTGAGTGCATAGTTTTATCTCTTATTCTTAATTAATATCTTTCTGACTAATAAATGATACTAATTAAGAATAAGAGCTAAAAATTTAAATACTCTAACGAATATTTGTCTCCTTTTCTTTTTGTTTAAAGATCACATAGAAACTTTAACGTAGGCCAAAAATTTGTGCATCTAAAAGCTGGTTTGTAATGGGCTCATTGTTCAAAGTAAATAAATAATAACATGGCAAAATTACATTGAGTTGAAATTTAACAAAATTATCAGAATATTATAAATATAGCAAAAATGACATAATCATTATCATAATGATATCACATTTTATACTAATATAATCATTATTTTAATAATATTAAATTTTACTATTTTTATTATATTTTAAAAATGTTACTATATTTAAACTCTACTATTGAATTTTGCTGCATGCGTAAATAGGCCTTGTTCAAATTTCATGAACCTATAAGCCGAGTAACACAAAGTGTTTTTCAGATTGGATTGGGCTACGCTAGGCTGAGTATTGCTTTGGGCCGAACATCAACGAGCCCATTTCAAATTTTCCGGTATGTGGCTTTTCGAGTTACGAACACGCGTCGCCTAGAACCCAAAAGTCCGTACGGCCATGTCCTTTTTCAAAAACCTTTCTCCCACCCCTGTCTCTCTCTCTCTCTCTCTCTCTCTCTTCCCGTCTCTCTGAAGCATCTGTGACCTCCAATGGCGTCCATCGCCGAGCCCTAACTAACTCTCTTTTTCCTCACTCTCGCCTTTCCGTTTCTTCCCCCTCAGAGTTCGTGATCGATTTCAGAATCGGAGAAATTGTACGCGCGCGACTTTAGAGTGAAAAATGGACAAGAAATTTAATGGTCCTACCGGAGCTTCGAGCTCCGTCGATGGTGGAACCGCGACAGCCTCTGGTTCTCAGTTCCGGTCTCCCAATTACAGTCGCAGAGCTGTTCAGGTTTGCATTCTAACCTTCACTTGAAGAGCTACTTCGACAAAACCCTAGCTGTTTCTAAACTATCTGCCTCGTAATCGTTTTTGTTTTTGTTTTGTTCTTTGGCGATTTTTGATGCTTTTGAGGGGTGTAAATGAAAGAAAATTGGTGCTCCTATGGAAATGGAAATGTTTTCTTAATGAATCTTGGGTTTTAGCAGAAATTCTTTTGTGGTTGAGAATAGCCAGATTACTTGTGGAACAGTTTTCTTGGTGTTTGGTTGAGTAACTTTGAATTCGTATTAAAAGTTTGTCAATCCAAATTATGAGGCTAGCATTTTGGGAAGTTTACACACTTCGAAGCAGACTGGCGAATCTAAGTATCAGAATTTATAGAGCATTTTAAGTGCCTATTTTGTTGAATATGTGTTTTAGGATACCTTAAATTTAAAATAGCATATTCCTATTTATTGATTTTTGCGTCTTATAGTTTTAATTATCTGACTTTCTTAACATTTGAGGTAAATATGACTGCCACCAGACTAGGCCTAAGGACACTTGGGGGGTGTTCTTTTCATAGGTTTGATTATAAAATTTGAACTGAATTAATTCAGATTTCTATGAGAGAAAACACTGTAGTGAAAAAGTTGAATTGTAATTCAAACCTTTGAAAAAACGAGGCCTTAATTTTACCATATTTACATAAAGGACGGCATGTAACATTTTGAATTGAATGTAAACCTGTTTCCTTTTTCTCTGTGAGTTCTATTTTTAACCTGCAATTTCGATTTTAGGAAGCATTGGAGCACTTGGCATCAATTGATCTTATTGAATTATGCAATGAAGCAAAAGTGGAGAAATGTCGAGCAACAAGAGACTTGAGAAGCTGTGGGCGGCCCGTAGAGTGTGCATTGAACTCCTGTGGACATGCTTCATTATGTGGAGAGTGTAGTAAACGATGTGATCTTTGCCCCATTTGTAGAATCCCAATACCAAAGGAAAACAATGGTGTTAGTCTCCGTCCACGGCTTTTCTACGAGTGCATTGATGCTGGCCTTATCTCAAAAATACATGATGACAGATTTCAAGAAAAAGAAGATGGGGAAGAGCAGATAACTGCTGATGTCCAACACCTTTATTGTTTGTTTGATGTTGCCCTGGAGAATAACTTAGTTTCTTTAATATGCCATTGTATCCTTTCATGGTGGTTTTTTCTGTTTTGTTCTTCCAAAATTTGAAGTATATTAATATTTATCTATTTAAAAAAAAAAAGAAACCCGAGGCATATAGTTAGTTTTCAATTTTAAGATAACCTCATGGTCTTTGAAATATCAATGAGGTAGGATTCCCAGTTCTAAAAGAGAGAAATTACTTCCAAACAATAGTTTAGTTTCTTATTTCCCTCTTATTATTTTATCTGGACAGAAGCTAAATGGATAAACAGAAAGCTTGAAGGATGTATGCCCGGGATATTGTCAATGTGTTATAGATAATTATATCTTCACAAAGCTGTTTAAGGTTTATGTTTTCCTTGACAGAAATTCAACAGATGTTACGGATGTTTGTATGGATGAAAGTGCCGTGTCCAGTGACCCTGTCATTGCTTTCTTGTTGGATGAAGTTGTTGTCAAGGACTGGTGTAAGCGGACATTTGGGAATATCATAACAGAACTACAAGGGATTTGTATCCTTAAAACTTTTGAGATACCTTTCCAACTGAAGCCTATTGTTATATGCTTCTATATACTTCATATTTGAATGGTGTGTGTATACATCTTAACATTTATATTAGATAATCTTGACGTAGCAGAAATAAAAAATAAGTTAAGCACGCTTCTTAAGTATTCTGTCCAGCTGGCTGGCATATCCAATGTACTTGAAGTGTTACAGTCGTCTTTCAAAGGTTCTCTTTCAGCTCAGCTTCATGATCTGCACTTCCTTCAAGAAAGTATTTTGAAGACAAAGCAGGTTTGAATGTTGACAGTTGCTGTTCATAAAGAATTGTTTGCTATGATTTGTGGCCTATTCAATGTTTTTCTGTTCCAGTCATTGTTTTTCCCTTGACAAAGGCTAATTCCAATCATGTGTCTCCAATAGCCATACTTTGAGTTTTAAAGTTAGGTAGAACCTCTTTAAAAGATCTAAACACGCACAAACCTAAAATATTTAGCTGTAACGTGCTTCATGATTTAATGAATAAAAATAGTTTGCTACGTTATGTTTAGACTCTTGCCAGTCGCTGACATAGTAAGAGTGTAACATTGGACAGGAAAGTTGTTGAAGGTGCAGAAAGTGGTAGCATAGGATTTTATAGTTTTGAATAAATACACATTTCATATGCCACATATCTTAGTTTAGCAAACGTTCCAGTGCTAGATGTTTGAATGTTATTTTTATTTTTTATTATTTATAACCTTATTGGTAAAGGCTTTATGATCTGTTTTAAAATTTTTCATTTAAAAGGTTCAGCCATTCATAGACCATTCTGCCTCTGCACTTAACTTATAGTCCTTTCTCTCAATATTGATTGTTTATTTTCAGCATTTGGAGATAATGATTTGGTGTATAAGACACCAATTCCTTGAGAATGTGTCGTCTCGCTATACTAATGTCACATCATGGCGTTCTCATGTTCGTGAAAGGAAATCAGCTGCGATTAGGCGTGCATGGCCGGATCCAATAAGTAACTCTGAAGAGTCTGTTAGACAGGAAGGTTCCCTGTTCATTGAAGATGCACTAACTAATCTCGAGATAGATCATGGATACACGCAGGAAGTGGGAGAGGAATTAAAAGTTGCATTTTTGCAGAAGGGTGGAATTTCATCAGTTTTCAGGTCTAAGATAGAGGGAGTTGTGGGCTGCTATCCATTTGAAAGTCTTCGAGCTGCCATTGATATACTATTCTTACGTGGTAGTTCTGATATGGTGGTGGCAAAGCAAGCAATTGTATCCTTATTTTATTTTATTTTATTACTCTTCTTTTTGGATGTTTTTCTTAGTATTATGGAATCTTAATTACCGCAAGATGTCAATGGGATCTTCGCCTTAACCTGTGATAGTTTCTCTACTATCTATATGATCGGCATTGGTCAATGCCGGAAGACAGATGGAGACACTTCATAGAGGACTTTGCTGCATCCTTTGGTATCAATAGACATTTACTATTGGAATCATTAATATTTTATCTTCTGGATGACCTAAATGACGAGGCTATGCAGGTAAGTTATGACTTTTCCACGTTCTTGTCTGAATGCATATTTTGATTGTTTTTTAGGATACTGGACTCAGTAGCTAACCAATTCTATCGAGATTACTGATGTTCCAACAAGGAAATTTTGGAGTGACTTCACTAGTATATAAGGTGACTAGGTTATGGCATTCTAGAGAAGACAACTAATTGATCTCCTTACTTTTCTTGAAAAGGAATTCTTGTTTCTTACAAATGGAGATAGTTGTAGCTTATTATTGTGCAATTTTAGAATAGGGATTTGCATGAAACGTGATCCACAATTTACTTGTGGTTAAGCTGCTCAGTATAATTTGTACTTCTATGTTCAAATCTTGAGCTGGGTTTAGTCATTCTGTTATGACTGACCCAGCTAAAAGAGAGGAAATTTAGAAGTGTAATAGATTATTCTTCGTAAAATAATTAATACCTTATGGGCGCGTTTACTAGGGCATGTCTACTTATCAGGAATTCAAAAGATTGGAATAAGTTTCATAATAAAAGGAATCAGTTCTCGTAGAAAGGTTCTAGAATCCCAGTAATGTGTGCACCAAACTATCAAGAATTAAGGGTCCGTTTAGTTCACGCGTTCAAGTTAGTGATTCTGATTTATTGACGGGAACTTTGTTAGAGAAGAAATTGTTGAATTCAAATTCTTTATGAGATGAAAAGCACTGTAACAGAATCAGAATCATGGTTCAAGTATAGGAACCAAACGGGGCCTAAATTTCGATGGAATTAAAATTTATATTATACTATTCACCAAATTTAGGAATTAGAATAATAATAGGTATGGTTAAATACCCTAGTATGGAGGAGATGATTAAATTAAAGTAGTGATATAATCAAGAAAGGTGGTAGTTACTCGGTTACTCCCTATTTTTAGGAAAAGGAATTTAATTCCATAGGTCAGAGATGGAACTCAATTCCTTGTAGGTGGGACACACTTCATTTAAATTCTCAAAAACAAAAGTATACACCAGATTTTGAAATCAGGGACTTAATTCCTTTATTAAATTTGAGTTGGTGATTCATGAGGAGTGACCCCAAATGTTTGCACGATTGATGCTCCAAATATTTGCATGCTAACTTTTTTTAATGAAACATTTTAATTTATTTTAGGAAGCGTGTCGCCTGCTTCCTGAGATCTCAGGTCCAACAACTCATCCTAAGATTGCACAAGTTCTTCTGGAAAGAGGAAATGCTGATGCAGCGCTTTTGGTTTTAAGGTGGTCTGGGCGTGATGGTATGTCACAGCTTGTTTCACTTGGTGAAGCTGTCACTGCAGTTAGGGTGAGGGTAGAGTGTGGGCTTTTCACTGAGGCTTTTCTACACCAAAGAATGCTATGCACCAAAGTCAGGGAAAAGAAGTATGGGGCTTCTGCAGAAGCACCTGATGACGAACGTAGGAGTTGGAAGGATTGGGTGGAGGTCTTGGTGGCTGAAATCTGTTATCTTTGTATACGAAGGAACATGGTAGATCGAATGATAGAGTTGCCTTGGAATTCTGATGAAGAGAAACATCTTCATAAGTGCCTGTTAGATTATGCTATTGATGATCCTTCTTCAACTGTTGGAAGTCTTCTTGTTGTATATTATATTCAGGTAATTGTCAATCCTCTATTGTATTTTCATTTAGGTTAGTAATTGCAGCTGTTTGGCAGTTGACATTAGTACATTTCTTAATCACAGTCTGTGGGTTCGAGTTTGTAGTATTTCTTGATTCATAAGCTATTTCTGGCTATGCCTGCTGATGTTTACGTCATCTGTTGGTTACGTTTCATAATGTCACTTCTTTGTATTTCAATAAATGCAGTTGATGTTTCAAGTCCATGTGCCATATTGGTCCCATAGTGTATCTTTAACTTGAAGGGTTACAGGGAACAACGGAACCAGATTTAAAAGCTACCATGATCCCTAGCTATATATATCAAATACATTTTTTCCCAATGCAAATTAGGGTTTTCCCACATAATCTTCCCATACTGTAGGATTGGGTCGATAAATAACTGCTAATCCTTTTTGGCGTTGATCTCTTGGATTGGACCATTTTAAGATAGCTGAAGAGTGAATACAATTTAAGTATTACTGTGTTCTTGATCACTATTTATTATTGCATAGAATCTGTAATTTGTGTTCCTCAAAGATATATTTATCAAAGGTTATCTTGACACAAGCTTCTTTTTGGATGCAAATTCAGCGGTACCGGTACTCCCAAGCTTACCAAGTTGATCTAATACTTAAGGGTGTGGAGCAGGAGTTCATTACAAAGAATTCTCTCAGTGAAGAAGTTTTATCTAGAATGAGATCAACCAGTGGCTGGAGAGCAGGATTAGTTGTAAGTGGTTACTATCTTAGAATTTTTTAGTACGCTTTCTCCAAATATTTAGTGTTCTTATTATTATTATTATTATTATTTTTTATTTTCGTATAATATAGTGTCGCACTAGTACTTAGTTAAGTCATGATTCATAAGCGATACTAGGGAGATGGCGGGACTTGTGGATATTGATTCATGTTATTCTTTATCCGTGTATTCATTGATCTGAATAAAATTGTAAAATGATTGAAAGTTATCTGCCTCTGTTACGGACGGTTAATAAACAATCATTCTGGTTCACACTATGTCGACTCTTGCTAGTGCCAAAGTAGTTTCAGCTGGGAGAGCTGGATCATGCGGGAAAGGATTAATTCGTGGACCTTATTTCATTTGTTTTCTGTAGTCTATTTATGATACATGGTGCAGCAACTGCACTCTGTACTTTCTCATAATCAATTCTATTTTGAGAAGAAATTTCATTGCGTGGCTTGACGTAGATGGAGTGCTGCTAGCAGATGTTGAACTTCTGTATTTCTTTTATTTGACTTGATGCTTTCAAAAAACAGGAAAAATGCATTGCATTGCTACCAGAAGTCCAACGACAAGAAGTTATGGCTGGAAAATCATCTGAGCTTACCGACACTACTGGCAATGAAGTTGAAATGCCTGAAAAATCTGATTTTCCTGAAGTGCTCAATCCAAAATCAACTAGTTTATTGATCCCTTCATCAAATGATTCTTCCGTTGCTACATGGACTGATCATACAGCTACCTGGAAGCCATTGGAAACTCCCCAAAGAAGAGGTGGATCTTTTGACAATTATAACTCTGAAATTGGTAATCATGGTTCTAGTCTCCGCGGAAGGTTATTTGACAATGCTGAAACAGGACTAACACCTCAAGTTAGTATAAGTAAAAATTTTAAATTTGGGAACAAGTCGATTCGTCACGTCAGTCCTGCAAATATGACACTGTTAAAGGACATGAACAGAACTCCGTCAAGAGGGATTCCAAATAGCAATCTCCAGGACAATCATTCAAATAAGCTATCACCAGAGGTGGAGACGGAAAGAAGCAGGTTCATTGACCAACTCGACAATGGCGGTCCATATTTCAGCAGTTTTACAGCTAATCCGGTAACTACACCAAGCAGTAACTGTGGCCAGTTTAGATATGCTTCGGGGGACCTTCAGCGAAGTGTGACCAGTAAAAGGGTCCATCCGGAAAGAGATGATACACCATGGAATATTGCTTCCGCAGATGATTTGATGGATGTCTCTTGGAGGTAAAACTTTATTTTCTTTTCAATACCCGTTGAGTCTTTCGGTCATATGCTTTGTTTCTTGTGTTTTGGGAAAAAGATGCAGAGGATTCTAACGACCTCATCTTTTAATCTCAATTGCTTGTTTATGTTTTTCCATTTTTCAGCGACGCGCATAAGGATTTTGCCAGTGGGGACATAAAGGGTAATGGTGGACCAAGATGGAGGTCAGATGAAACCAGTGACGACGAAGATCAACAAAGTCCTGATAGAACTTTGGGAGTCACTCATCGTACCACTCCCATGAGGCGTGTTAGAAGAAGCAGGTTTGCGAAGAGATGAATATTTCACACTGCCTTTGTCTTGTTGACAGAAGCATATCGTTGTTCTGCTATGATATCTTCTTGTGTTGGATAAAACGAAACTATAAAGAGCCAGTAATGAAACAAAGCAAGAGTTGTTTTTCTACGATTTTGTGCTGCTGAGTTTGCAGTTTCCGCACAAGGGCATTAGTTCTAGTACTTTCCCATCACTCTGTAGCTGTACAGCCCAAATTTGAAGGAGATGGCAAATTTGATGGCGATCTCCTTGCTTCAGTCAGGTGATCGGATATTGAGATTGAGTTTACTGACAACAAATGGTGTCAGATTAGCGGAATTTTCAATCCCCTATCATGTAATGGCAATGTTGAGGCAGGTTCTGACAGTTTCAATCTTTTTCCAGTTGTAATTTTCAACATACTTCTGATGCTAATAGGAACAAATGTTTACCAATGTGCCCAAATGAACAAAAGAATGCGCACAGAAATTTGGTATCAGATTGGTATAAATACTCGACGTGAAAAGTTTCCAAGCTTCAAATAATTAGATTGTGGTGCTATTTTCTTCACCTGCCATTTTTTTTTCCTGAATTCTTGTGAGCTAAAACGATGAACATATAAGTTTTTTGGGTGAATAGTGAATTTGATAAACAAAATCTATGGCATTACTACGCGAACTGTGCATAATAAAGCAAATATCCTTCAATCAATTTTAATTAAAAAAAGAAAAAAGAAATCAAACTTCCCTTGCGTCTGAACAAGTCATTTTATCTATTGAAGTATATTTGCGTTATGCGGTGCATTATTTCTAACTTTTTCTAATAACAATACCATTTTTAACTTTGGGTGGGGGAATGATACTAATTTTAACCTAAACAATCAAATGACTAATAACCTTACTCAATAACAAAATAGTATATTTTACGCTAATTTCTTTGATGTTAGTATTATTCTCATCTGCAAAATTTTGAAGTCCATTCTTAATTTATCCCTCAAATTTTAAAAATTCTCATTTTGCTCAATAAGTTTAGAATTATTCCTGCTTAATTCTTTTTTGTTAAGAGAAAAAAATGGTATGCAATCTTTTTGCTTGAATTTTTATTAAAAGAAAACAAATAAAGACTGCACGACTCATTTACCCCTTTTCTGGTATGATTTTAATAAAAATTGGATCTAACAACATTTTAGTGTGACCATTCAAAATTCAAGAAGAATTTTTTAAGTTCAATAAATGTGATGAGACAAGCGATGAAGATTGATACAGACAGTCCATCTTGCCAAATGTGAATCACGCGCGCAATTTCACAAGTACGCGTGCACATAAACTTTTTTTTTTTTTTTTTTTTGGGGTCTGTTTGTAAGTCCATCAAAACTCGATAAAAAATACTTCACTTTTTTATCTATTGAATCAGACTTTGAAGCGAGGCCTTTGTAAAAATAATCTCATAGAACAATTTTATTCATAAAATGACAATTCAAAAATTTTTATCTTCATCAAGTCTGAGACTGAAACAGAGATGACTGAGCTTCTTCTGAAACTTCCCATCATCGACTTGTCCTCGTCGGACACTTCTTCCACCGCCGCTTCAATCCGACAGGTAACTTCATTTCCTTGTTTTTTTTATTCGAAAAAAAGAGCTTCAAAAACGATTTTTTGCCAAAAAAAAAAATGATGGAAATGGAATTGTATGTATATATGTATGTAACAGGCGTGTATAGAACATGGTTTCTTTTATCTAGTGAATCATGGCGTGGAAGATGAGGTTCTTGAGAAGGTTTTCTTGGAGAGCAAGAAGCTGTTTTCGCTTCCATTGGAGGAGAAGATGAGATTGGATCGCAAAGAGAACAGAGGATATACGCCGCTTTTTGCGGAGGCTCTCGATCCTGTTTCTGCTCCCAAAGGTTTTGAATTTTTTTTTTTTTTTTTTTTTGAGTTTGATTTTGTGCAAAAAAAAAAAAAAAAAAGGTATTGTATTGTTGTGGATTGATTTCTAGTGATAATTCAAATCAGGTGACCCTAAAGAGAGTTATTATGTTGGTCGTTTAGAAGATGATTCGGCTGCAGTTAAATTGAATCAATGGCCTTCTCAAGGTACCAAATTGCATAGTACTCTTGTGTGTTTTGTGTTTGTGAAATTTTGTGAATGTCGATGAACGCTTGTATTACCATTGTTGTGGACTTTAGCACACCACCAATTAGGTGGTTGATAACTTGATTTATTATTAGTACTATCTTTAGTTATTTTGCGTGTTCTTGATATTTGCACATGTGTTTTATAGTGTTTTTGTCTCACTTTTATAGATGGTAGTAAAAATGGATATTTGATCTCAAGAGGAAGAAAAAGTGTAAAAACACGTTGTTTCAATCGCCGCAGCGCGTCCTGAGCTTGCTACAGCACCAGAACCAGAGGCAAGGAAAGTTATAGGCTACTGCGCCATTGTCTCTCGCTGCAGTGCACCTTGACTGAGCAGGATGGGCGCTGCAGCGCCATTGTCTCCCGCTGCAGCGCCCGCGACTGTGCTGCTAGGGTTTCTGGATAATAGTTAGCGGCGCTGTAGCGCACAAAAGTCCCGCTGCATCGCTCGGACACGTGTTGCTCAGTTTTTAGAGCAAAAATGAGCTATTTTGCGGGGGGAGATAGAAGGAAAAGAAAGGAACAGAACGAGAGAGCGGGTTTTAGAGAGAAAAATCAGAACTCAATAGAGAAAATACAAAGAATTGAAGGCTTGCTTGAAGAACCAATGAGGGATTGAAGATTGTGGAGCTCTACTGGCGTCTAGTTCTACATTACCTCTTTCCCGGCGTCTAGTTCTACATTCTCTATTTCCCTCCTCTATCTTATTTAGCTTTCAATTTGAGTTACTTTCTTGGATTTGTGATTGAATGATGGATTGGGATTTTGGTTTGTTTATCTATTTATTTGAAGAATTCATGATGTATATCTCTAGCTAAACTCTTTAAGCTAGGGGTGGGATGTAGTTCTATCTTTTGTTATGCTTTGAAGATATTTGGTATTTGTTAATGAAATTCCATTTCAGTTCATTTGTGTCTTTCTATTTTTATTGCTCTAATTTATGATATAATGAATTAGTGATATAGATGTGTGGATTTAGATTCGGGAGAGTAACTCACATATTGGGATTTGAGAGACACAACCTAAAATTAGTTGAGTTCGGGAGGCCAATTGATTCGGGTAATCATAATAGGTTTGCTTAGTGGGTGTTTATTAGGTTGAGTGAATAGGATATTACTTAATCGACTTTACACACTATTTCACTTGGCACTCGGGAGAGGGAGCGAAATTACCTGAGAAATAGTGTGTAAAGTCGATTAAGTAATATTCCTATTCACTTAACCTAATAAACACCCATTAAGCAAACTTATTATGATTACCCGAATTAATTGGCCTCCCGAACTCAACTAATTCTAAGTTGTGTCTCTCAAATCCCAATATGTGAAAGTTACTTTCTCAAGCCTAAATCCACACATCTATATCACTAATTCATTATATCATAAATTATAGCAATAAAAATAGAGAAAGACACAAATGAACTGAAATGGAATTTCATTAACAAATACCAAATATCTTCAAAGCATAACAAAAGATAGAACTACATCCCAATCCCTAGCTTAAAGAGTTTAGCTAGAGATATACATCGTGAATTCTTCAAATAAATAGATAAACAAACCAAAATCCCAATCCATCATTCAATCACAAATCCAAGAAAGTAACTCAAAATCGAAAGAGGGAAAGAGAGAATGTAGAACTAGACGCCAGTAGAGCTCTACAATCTTCAATCCCTCCTTGGTTCTTCAAGCAAGCCTTCAATTCTTTGTATTTTCTCTATTGAGTTATGGTTTTTCTCTCTAAAACTCGCTCTCTCGCTCAGTTCCTTTCTTTTCCTTCTATCTCCCCCCCGCAAAATAGCTCATTTCTGCTCTAAAAACTGAGCAACACGTGTCCGAGCGCTGCAACGGGAGTTTTGTGCGCTGCAGCGCCCATCCTGCTCGGCCAAGGTGCACTGCAGCGAGAGACAATGGTGCTGTAGGCTATAACTTCCCTTGCCTCTGGTTCTGGCGCTGTAGCGAGCTCAAGACGCGCTGCGGCGATCAAAACAACGTGTTTTTGCACTTTTTCTTCCTCTTGAGACCAAATATTCCATTTTTACTACCATCTACAAAAGTGAGACAAAAACACCATAAAACACTTGTGCAAATACCAAGAACACGCAAAATAACTAAGGATGGTACTAATAATAAATCAAGTTATCAGTGGTGGAGCAGTAAGGATCGTTTTTTCTTTTTTTTTTTTCTCAATGCGCCCCAGGTTTGATACTCGGTAGGTCCCATCAGAGGTCTTGTCCAGTTAATGGATCGTACCGCATTAGACCTATGGTAGTGTGAGTGAAATTGGACCCATCCTACCATTAGAATTGGGTTAAGTTCTTTTTATTTTCAAATATGGGTGAGGGATGACACCAATAATCTCTCTTTTCTTTTTTGGGACTTTCTCTGGTAGGTCTTTTTACGAGCAGTGCCAGTTTTTGACCATTGAATTCGGTCAAAATCACATCAAATTAAAAAAATATGCCGAACATACAGTTTTTAATATAGATCTAATAGTTAAAAAGTAGATAACTTTCAGTAGTTTATCTTTTCTGGTCCTACCAGATAAACTTCTTTTTCTTTTTTTTTGTTCAACAACAACAACAACAATAACTACTAGGAGTAAGGTCGTGGACCGCACAATTTTACGTGACAATTATTGGTGGTTAGGAAAAGGGTATGATGATAACTACTAATGAAACTTAGCATTTTTTGTATGTCATACCATGTGATTGAGCGTGTTTAACTATGTGAAGTGTATTTATATATTATTATGCTGTTGAAGGTAACAGCTTATTTAGAATTTGTTTCGAGGAATTCGGTGCTGTTACAGTTAGCATTTTTTGAATGCGTGTGGACATGCATGTTTGTGTCATGTGTGTCTAAGCTTATGTTGCAGTTGATTGGAATTCTTATGTATACTTGTGATAAAAAGTACAGAAATTTTACCTTCTTGGAGACCCACAATGGAGACGTACTACAGAAAAGTCCTGTAAGTTTTTCCATGGTTGTTGATCATATGTGTTGGCAATTGGATATTTAAAAATATGTAATTATTGAGTGATTTCATTATGTGCCGATTCTTTTCATGCCAGTTTCACCATAAATAGAAACTTAAATTGCTGGTCACAGGTGTGCTGGAAAGAGGCTGCTCCGTTTGATTGCGTTGGCACTAAACCTGGATGAGGACTTCTTTGAGAAAGTTGGGGGCTTGGACAAACCAGCAGCGTTTCTTCGTCTTTTGCATTATCCAGGTTTAGTATCACAATTTTGCCTAGGGAGAATTCGATCCCAAGGAATATGATTTCACAAAAGTGTGCAAATCTTACAAATATGGAAAAGTAGATTTGATATGTTGTCGATTTTTGAATTTCAGTTTCAGTATTCTCGGCCTGAAACAACCCATTGCTTACTCTTTTCCTTGTATTAGACGTAATAGATTTTCCTAAGGGGAAGAATTTTAGGTATCCAATATTAGACTTGGCTGAAAAAAAAAAATCAGTACAGCTATTAGACCTTTTAGATGTTGAAGCAACACTAATTAAGATTCACTGTTTTCTATTAACCTTTTGAGTTTTGTCTTGATCTCTATTGACTATTCTAAAGCCAATGTTTAACCGTATTCTATTACCACCAATGGGGTGGTGCTGAGGTTAGGATCCTTTTTTTTTTTTTTTTCTCCTTTCAAAATGGGTTCAAGGTTCAATGCTCCATGGCCCTCCTTAAAGGTCCCTACCTGGTCAACGGAACATGCAGCATTGGACTTGTGGTCAAGCGGGAGTAAATTGAGCCCATTTTTGAGTAGAATTGCGTCAGGTCCTTCGAGTTCCATTGGTGGCCTCCTGGATTTCTGCTATAAATGAAGGGGATGGTGGATGAAATGGCACCAATAATCCCATTTTTTATCCAAAAAAAAACAGAGATTCCATTTCGAACAGATCCTATGTGCTTTTGTTTTCTTAATTGTCATAAAGCTAGCATAACCCAATCAGTATAACTGTTGAGCAAAAGAAAAAAAAAATCTTGTCATTATAGAATTTATCTCTTTGTAAAATACAATTTCAGGATAAAGTACTTTGTGGACTTGAATTGGTTTGACTCCTAGAATGAAGTTCTGGAATCAAAACAAACTTTACACTAATATTGATGCCAAGGAGTGAACAGGTTTATCTCTGAATCTATCAAAATTGGATTTGTTTTCTTTCGGAAGCTTTTCCAACCTTGTATCCAAACTCATAGTCTAGGTACTATCTGAGCCAGTTCCATCTGTTTGGTATGTGTACTAAAGTTTAATATATACATTCAATTATATCTCTTGTATAGCACCTCATGAGAAGGCTTCGAACTGGTGATAGAAATGTAGGATTTCTCTATGGTTCTAAAGATAATTGATTTCGATTTCAGGTGAACTGGGATCTTCTGAAGAAGAAATATGTGGTGCTTCAGCTCATTCGGATTATGGATCGATCACACTTCTTGCAGCGGATGGTGTTCCAGGACTTCAGGCTTGCTTCTTGATGATCAGCTTAGGCAGTTTTAACTTTTTATCACATGGTTATCACAATCTTATCCAGGATTTCTTGTTTAATTGACAGATCTGCAGAGAAAAATTTAAGCAGCCTCGGGTCTGGGAAGATGTTCCTCATCTACATGGGTGAGTCCATGGCTATGAATTTTCACCTCAATGGCTGTATGACTATAATATCAGTTTGCATTCTATGATATCCTACAGTCTGCAGAATAAAGTAATACGTTGCATATAGATTTGCATGTCAATCTACAAATCCATGTAGGTTTTGGTAGATCATCCCTTTGCATATGAAGCTGTGGCTCATTATGTGTGAATTATTTATTTATTTATTTATTTGAAACCAAGTTTTTTTAGATTAGACTTTCTTGCTTACGAAATAATTGATTCTTGTCTCAAGAGTTTAAACTCAAATTGACAGGGCATTCATTGTTAATGTTGGAGACATGATGGAGAGGTGGACTAATTGTTTGTTCCGGTAATTTTTCATCTCAATGGATGGGTATTCATGTTTTTTCTTTACAAGACGGATCATTAGATTATTCCTCAAGTTAACACTGAATTTGAAACTGATATTAAACACTTTTTTTTTGGGGGGGCATTTTCCTCCTGTTTTTTCTACTGAACACTTGCCACTTGTTTATAGGTCGACGCTGCACAGAGTAATGCCAACAGGACAAGAACGTTATTCCGTAATAATTCATCTCCTTTTAGTGTTACATTCATTAAGTTAAAATTGTAATCTTATTAGTCTGAAATTATAGCTTGAAATTCGAAATTAAACCATCTTAATAATGCAGGCGGCTTTCTTCTTGGACCCCAAGGAAGATTGTGTGGTGGAATGCATAGAAAGTTGCTGTAGCGAGTCCTCTCCTCCAAGGTCTGGATAGAACTTTTTGCCACTTTTTGTCAAGTCATTCATTCATTTACTTTTCCTTTGTTCTTTCCTCGAAAAAAATAATTTTATCATGCCAATACATGCTAAAAAACTTAAATCTTCTTCTCTTTTGTTTGAGAAATATCTGCTAAAAAAATCTTGCGTCATCGCATTTCACGCTTGCTCCGCTCACAACACATCAAACTCAAAGTACATTTTCCCCACTTTGTCTACGCATATTTTCCTCAAGAACGTTGCTATGTATGTGTGTGGCAGTTTCTTATTTTACACGGCAACTTACGGTCACAATAAAGACTAGTACCGGTGATCGCCACCAATGATACTTAGCATTTATCTTCCATCAAAGGTTGGTGTGACGGTATTTACGTAATAGTATATGTGTTTGCAGATTTCCTCCAATCCGAAGTGGGGACTACCTCAAGGAGCGTTTTAGGCTTACATATGCATCGGATGCTGGACTCTAAACCCATATATGACAGCTATATGAGGCTGCATTTGGTGGGATGTTGAGAGGTTGAAGTTAAACGTCACTGCTTGGGGGTAGATTTTTCTCTGATCACGGGAAAGTTTGCATACTTTTTTATATCTAACAGAAACATCCACTACTGATGGAGTAACCTTATTCAAAAAGCTCCAATTTCTTTTACCTCCACCTAGAGTTGCTTAGTATTTATAACTTTTTTTTTTCTCTTGTCTTGGTGAAAATTGACTATTGGTTATTCTTACCTATGCTGATACTCTGCCTTTTGATACGAACCCCGCCAACAATGTGACGAAACCCGTAGCCAAATATGGGATACGATCCAAGATCCTCAAGAATTGATGGAAACCGCGACCCGTTGCTTAGCGAAGTACGAACTTTGGTATGGTGAAGACGCCACAAATGAGTATGAAAATTCCGTTTGATAAGTCAAGGGTGAACGTCACAAGGAAAACCTTGATAAGTTCGGAATAGTTCTTCAAGAACTAAGAAGAATATCTCACAAAGTGAATAAACATAAAACTTTTTTATTAAATTCAGATTTCAGCCTTAAATAGCCGAAAACAAGCTGAAAGGTTAAAAAATTGTAAAAGTCCTATCCTATCTTTAATGAGATAGAAGCATAAAATAAGATAAACCTAAAAACAAGATAAACGCAAGTCTAAAGCTTATCCTAGGGAAGGAATCCGAATTCGACTACAACTCCTTCCTAAAAAACGCTTAAAAGCTTATCTTAGGGAAGGAATCCGAATTTGAATCTAACTCCTTCCTAAAAAACGCCTAAAGATAATCTGTTAGGGAAAGAATCCGAATTTGAATCTAACTCCTTCCTTAAGAATCTAAATTTGAATCTAACTCTTTCCTTAAAAATGCCTATTATGCAATTTAAATGTTTAAACTTGAAACTTAAACCTAAAAAGATAGAATTATGATAAAGGCAAGTCTTTATCATCAATTTGACTTTATCCCGGGCTGAAAAACACGCCTAACTTCTTGAAATTCCCCCTTGCACGTGTATCCTGGATTGACATGCAAGTTGGCTATGCAATGGCTTATTGGACGTGTAAGACTAATTGGCTCTCTTCCGGATTGGCTCAATGGACGTGTAAAACTAGTTGGCTCTCTTCCGGATTGACTTTGATGAGTATTTATTGCATCCGTGATGTTCACATCACCTTTTACTTAGTTTTAAAAGTTAATAAAACTAAAAGTTTAACCAAGCAAAATGTCAGTTTTTTTTTCCTTAATCATAAGAAGTGTCAAGAATAATATGATAGAATAGTAATGGGAACCATGAAGGAGAATCTTTTTGAAAAAGGGAACTATATTTCAAATCAAGTCAATATAGAAAATATATATGAGTTTTAAAGTCAACACCTAAAAAGGTATATTAAAAATCTAGAAAATGTATGGGCGAATAACAGATTTCCACAAGTCGGTAACAGGATTTTCAAAGAATTTTGTTGTGCACGAGTTATAGAAGATTGGCATTCAAATATATCATATGTTGCACATTGACATGTTCCAATATTGCAGCTCGCATTTTGCATCTTACGTACCCATAAAAAAAAATCTTCTTTTACATACCCGAGGTTTTTTTTTTTTTTTTTTTTTTTTTTTTTTTTTTTTTTTTTTTTGTTGTTGTTGTTGGAGGAAGATGATTATGTGGGTTAATACCTAGAAGTTCGTTGTGGCGAATCCTCTTCCCAAAAAATATAGATGGAATTGTCTTTGGATTCTTCTCTAATTTTATCTATTTTCTCCTTTGTTCTTTTCTTCTAAAAGGACTAATTTGTAGTTTTCTTTTAGCATCGTAAGTAATATTCGCATTTCAAGAGTTACTTACCCATAAGCAACTTCTAATAATAGCTTGATCAGCTCTACTCATATTTCTTTCCAAATGTGTACGCGTGATTAGTCAAAGAGGCTGGTGGTAATAGGACTCTTTTTGTAACCAATGATGGGAAATATATTCTTTTTTGTTTTAGGTAAATATAAGCATAAATTCAGTTCGAATTACTTCCAACGTCCAATAGTTTTATCAGTTGTTGTGAATCTGTATGCAACGTACAAAGTATTAACGCATTCAAATTCAGAATTAAAGAAATAATTATGATAATAGAATGGAAATCAGAACTTAAGACACAAAATCTAAACTTAACATGAAAAACTTTCAATTAGGCACCCCTAGCTACCTCCGGAATATTCCAAAAAAAAAAAAAAGAAAAAAAAAATAGCAAAAGCAAAAGCAAATGATAGATATAGCTTATGACAAACTATAGTAATTGGTAATTGTTTGCCATCTTCATTTAGGTAATAATTTTAAAAGCATCCTTATCCAAGTTTCGTTTGCATGACCTTTCATCAAAGCATGACCTTCCATCAAAGCGAGACCTTCCATCAAAGCGAGAATAGTGCTCAAGCTAAAAAAAAAAATAATAATAAAAAATCAGGAGCCAAATATATATATATATATATATATATATCAAAGTATTAACGCATTCAAATTCAGAATTAAAGAAATAATTATGATAATAGAATGGAAATCAGAACTTAAGACACAAAATCTAAACTTAACATGAAAAACTTTCAATTAGGCCCCCCTAGCTCCCCCCGGAATATTCCAAAAAAAAAAAAAAGAAAAAAAAAATAGCAAAAGCAAAAGCAAATGATAGATATAGCTTATGACAAACTATAGTAATTGGTAATTGTTTGCCATCTTCATTTAGGTAATAATTTTAAAAGCATCCTTATCCAAGTTTCGTTTGCATGACCTTCCATCAAAGAGAGAAAGTAGTGCTCAAGCTAAAAAAAAAAAAACAAAAAAACAATCAGGAGCCAAAATATATATATATATATATATATATATTTAATCTTGATACTATGGAGAAAAAAATCACACATTTTTGAAATTAAACTGTGAATAATTTAGGGTCTGTTCATTTAGAGTTTAACTTGAGTATAATTTTTGAGTTGATTAAGTTATAACTTGAGTTGAACTTGTAATTTGAGTTTGTGTTTAGTTGTGTACATTTGAGTTATGGTTTGAGATAAGAATTTTTTTGAGTTTATGTTTGAGTGAGTCAAAACTTGAATTTATATTTAGATAATATTTTAATAAAAACTCAATGGTGATGAAAAATTTTAATAGGGTATATGGGTGTGGTTTTATTTATCTTTTCGTTGTCAATGCATAGAAAAAAAAATCATCTCAATCAAGATTAAAACGAAAAAGTTATAGTATTTTTAAAAATAGAAAAAATACTGTTTATTAATTTGAGTTTGAGTTTTTGAACTCGAGTTGAAGGGGACACTTGAACTCAAGTTTTACAAACTCGAGTTCAAAATTAAAAAAATATTAACTTAAATAAAGTTGAAACTCGAGTTACATTTTTTAAAATTTTTTGAGCAGCCGAACACACCTTTAATTATTGAATAGGAAAAACAACTGTAATTTTCTTATAAAAAATGGGACCAAACTAAAACTTTAACAATATTTTAGAGATAAAGACCAACCTTTTATAAAAAAAATTTGTGACGACACGGGTTTCGAACCGAATATCCACCAAAAAAAAAAGAAAACGCATGTAAAAAAGAAGAATGAAATTAAGGGTTGTTCTTTTGCGACGAAACCCAAAAAAAGTTTAAACTCAAATTACAACTTTATTTAAGTTCATGTTTTTTTGTAAAATTTGAATTTGAACTCGAGTTTGGGGCTAAACTTGAGTTCAAGTTTCCCCTTTAACTCGAGTTCACAAACTCGAACTCAAGTTAATGAATAATATTTTTTCTATTCTTAAAAATGTCATAACTTTTTCGTTTAAATTCTGATTGAGATGATTTTTTTTCTATGCATTCACAACAAAAAGACGAATAAAACCCCACTCATTTACCTTATTAAAATTTTTCATCACCATTGAGTTTTTATTAAAATACTATGTAAATATAAATTTAAGTTTTGACTCACCTAAACACAAACTCAAAAAGATTTTCAATTCAGATCATAACTCAAATGTGCACATCCAAACACAAACTCAAGTTGTAACTTTAATTCAAGTTATATAACTTAAACTCAATTTAAGATCATCTGAGTCATTGTAACTCAAAAATGCAAAAAACTAATCCTTAAGAGTTCGTACTCTGTGCGATAACTCAGAAACACAGATACCCCTCGCTCAGAACGCTAATTTTAAACACCAATGTTTGGACCCTGAAATCCTCAAAGAATCTGTCCCCAGAAATAGTGGTGCCGGTTATAAACAGCTCGTTTCACGTTCATGTCATAGTACTGTTGTCTTTCGATACTATGTAAAATCACACGCACCATTTGGTCAGTCTGCAAGTTCTCTTCAGTGGCATCATTCAGTTTTAGAGATGAACAAGCAACGTTTACTTGCTACACTCTCGGGTATAGCAATGTATTTGGCGTCCACTTCATCTCTTGTGAGAGTTATCTTGAAATGCCACATTTCGTCGTTTCCACAAATCGCGTTGTCGGAACAACGCGTGCTAGACGAAGACCTAGATGATGACGATGAACTAACTACTCATTATTACTATATGATGTGAATGAGAAATAATGTAATATTTTTTATGAGACGCAAAATTTGCATGGTGGTGTTGGATATTTATAGGGGAATTGATTCACCCTAATGGATTTTGATTTGAGGGTAGTTGCTCTTTTATTAATTATTTTATTTTGACTTTCTTGATTTATTTTTGTATGTATACTTCCCGGATTTTTTTTTTTTCGATTTTGCATGGAAAGATTTTTTTGCCTTATTAAGACTCTGCCATGCAAACAAATATCTTCAATAGGGGGAATGTGTAATATAGCAACTTTTATACATGCATTTGAAGTTTATGGCGCATTTCTTAAAAATTGGTAAATTGTAGGACATTCTAAATTTTCCAGAGAAAATAAAATTTCTTTTTCATATTTACCCTTTCTTCTATAGGTTTTTATTTTTATTTTGTTGAGAATGATAAACGGTAAATCTGTGTATTGACTAGTTGGTGATGCCGGTTGTCGGCGTCTGTGAGGTTTTCGGATAAATACTATATTTATTAATTTTAAATAAATATAAATATTTATTATTAAATATAGTATTTATTGATAAATACTGTATTTATCAGTTTTCAGAGCCGATGGTTAGATTTTTAGATTTTCAGATAAATACGATATTTACTATCGGTCGTCAGTGTTGGCGGTCAGATTTTTGGATAAATATGATGA